GCATCTTATATTACGATATTATATAGTATTATAAGATATTATATATAGTATTATATATTGAAAAAAATTGCAAAGATTTTGAGGCATGTAAGAGATTTTTACAGTCTTTATATATCTGATATCAACATTTCTGGTCCTTTGCGAGTGCAGTATTTAGTGTTGACTTATAAAGATCATTTTTCAGTGAAGCGTGTGTGTGTGTGTGTGTGTGTGTGTGTGTGTGTGTGTGTGTGTGTGCACACATGCACGTGTACATCTGTATGAGTTCACAACACGGCTCTTGCTGTAGTCTTAGCAGAATCCTGTTGGGAGAAGAGTGGCCTCCTGTTGAGGAGGAAGATGAGTGTCTGGCGTCTCTTGAGCGCCGTGAGCGATTACAGTCACTCCATTATTTAGCTTGCGTTACATGTGTGCCATAAACCCCACACTCCCCAAAAAAATATGCTGCTCCATTTGCTCTCATTAAAAATGTATGCCGTTTGTTGGAAAAAAACACACACTCCACTGACTGAGAGCTGATATTTTTGCAAATGTAACTTGAGCGTCATCTGTGAAGCCAGGCACTCCAACCAAGCATACTGTACATTTTCATCTCATGTTATAGTATATCAGTCCTCAACATAGCTACATGGCAGAGTAATGGTTTTAAAAATATCTGTGAAGATCTGCTTTTGTCACTTGGCAGATGATATGACATATGAACTGTCTGTTTGTTATTATCACAGTGTGATACCAATTAAGACGATACAGGACTTAAAGTAATAGATCACTCAAAAATGAAAATTTTCTGAAAATATACTCTCGCTCAGGCCATCCAAGATGTAAATGAGTTTGTTTCTTCATCAGAACAGATTTGGAGAAATGTAGCATTACATCACTTGCTAACCAGTGGATCCTCTGCAGTGAATGGGTGCCGTCAGAATGAGAGTCCAAACAGACGATAAAAAAACTAAATAATCCACAAGGAGTCCACATTACTCAGTTCATCAATTAATGTTTTGTGAAGTGAAAAGCTTTGTGTTTGTAATAAACCAATTCGTCATAAAGGCATGTTAACTTCAAACCATTGCTTCTGGCTAAAATATGAGTCGTCTCTCCATAATATTGCTTTCTCCAGTGAAAAGTTGTCCTGTCTGAGTTAGGAGAGAAATATGCACAGATCAAGCACCATTTACAGTTCCAAAGCAGTTCTAAACAAATATGTCAGTGGATGTTGATGTGAGAGGACAACAAGGGATGGACTAGGAAGTGTTATTATGGAATGATGGATTTGTTTCTTACAAACACGCAGCTTTTCGCTTCACAAGATGTTAATTGATGGACTGGAGTTGTGTTGATTACTTGTGGATTATTGTGATGTTTTTATCAGCTGTTTGGACTCTCAATCTGACGGCACCCATTCACTGGAGAGGATCCATTGGTGAGCTTGGGTTTAATGCTACATTTCTCCAAATCTGTTGTGATGAAGAAACAAACTCGTCTACATCTTGGATTACCTGAGCAAATTTTCATTTATTCCTTTAAAATAAAATAAAATTGCATTTTATTTAAAAAGTCTCATAATCCTGATGATATGGGATGTTTTTCTTTCTGTGATATCTTGGTTCCGGTATTACTGTACTGCATTTCAAGCATATCAGTCCTTAACCTGGATGCACAAAGGTTTTAAAAATGATCCGTAAAGACCTGTTTTTTTTCCCTCATATGGCATTGTATGGAATAATTGTCTGTTTGTTACCATTGTGCATGACACCAATTAAATGCAACACCACGCACGACACTGAATCTCAGTCTGTTTCTCTTTGCTTCAGGCCACTTTGATAGTAGCTTTTTACATTATTAGCTCAGAAGTGCTAGTCATTCCAGCTTATTCCACTCATCAAACAATTCTGTGAAGCTTCCTCAGCTCTGAACCCCAGAAGAGACACTGAGAGTGCACGCTAATTTGAAGAACTTCACACCAGACCTGCAGCACTGTGCAAATTCAAAGTCACTGCATTTATGAATGATTTCCAAACATTTCCTTAGGTACAGGAACCATTTATGAATGCCAGATGAGGCAGCAGTGCACACATTCTCTGAACATCTTACTTTCATGTAATTCACATCAAATGGCCGTTGCAATTGATACCAAATGGGAAGGGTTGGCAGAGAAATGTCATTCTCTCACACATCTTTTCATTAATTAACAAAAGACTGTTGTAATAAAAATAACAATTACTGTAAAGCCGCCATGCCTGTGCCGTATGTTACAATCTAAGCCTATTGGCAACCAGTGGGACTGTAGTGTGAGATCATCTTATTAATGTAACAGTGGCACCGTCTTAATCTTGGTAATGTGTCCCTGGCGCTTCCACAGGTGTTGAGGATTTACGATGGCTTGTGGGAGGGTGAGACGGAGTCCTAGCGGTGGCATTGGATGGCAGTACTGCTTTGGGAACTGCTTTGCTGGCAGACAAAACACACTTTGGTTTGTAATCAGAGCTCAAGTGGTATGTGGTAAGTTTTTTCTTAGGATAACAGCAATGCTTTTGGCAAGGATCAAAGTTTTCTTTCTCTATCGCTTGCTCTTTAGTTTGATTGACACCTGGAGGAAACCTCAGTCAAGGCATTGAGAAATAGCTCAGAGTGCAGATCGGCTGCTGATGCCATGGGTTTTCAGGTGTAAAATAATTTTCCAAATTTTTTTTTCTTAATCTGACCTTTGACCTTTTTTTTAGGGCTCCGTCATTTATAACTGACGTTGTCCCATTAGGGTAAATTCTTTTTGGTAAATTGTCTGAAACTTCACACACAATCAAATGCTTTTTCCCTATCTGAAAAGAAGTGAAAAGGTCTTACTGTTTCAAAAAACATTAAAAATCTTTATGAACATTCCATTTTTTTCTTGTGCTGCTATATTTGATTTGGAACTCACGCGTGAAAATGTCTAAAACGTGACACAAATTCGGATGCAATTTCCCTGCCTGAAAACCATGTCTTAGTGTTTCAAAAGCATTAAAACAACTTTAACATTGTGTTTCATCTTGGAATTTCAAATCAATTATCGTAGCACATGTGAAAATCAACAAGACTCTTCTTTTTAAGTGTACCCCACACAACCCACACATAAGTAGATGTTGACTGTGTGCAGTCATCATTGGAGCATCGCTGTCTGTCTGTATAGTAATGCCAATAGACATTGGCATCTTTCCTGGTTGTTGTATGGATCACATCTTTCAAACTGGCATACAATAATGTACCCAAATGCCTGACTTCCACAACAACCTATTCTTCATCACTGCCCTCACACTCATTGCTTCTATCCTCCTTGGTCCTCAACAACTTGTTTTATTACTACAACCTGATTTTCTGATGCACTCATATCACTATCATCAATACTTTCTGAAATAAGTACAGATTTGTCTCTCCATCTTCCAAAAATCTTACAAAAATGAACCTAAAACACATGCATAAAGGCTATTACACTGCCGTCAATGCTGGTCAATAGTGCCAGCTACACAAAATATGCATCACATAATACGACTTTGTCAGTTATGCATGACGCTCAGATTTGTTGGTCTCTTGAGTTGTTGTTTTTATAAAAGTGCATTAAAAATGACAAAAAAACTTTAGAAAACACATTTGGATGTACAATTATATTTTTTATAACTTGAATTTATATGTATTTTCTAGTCTAAAATGAGCTCACTCTGGAGCCTTGAGAGCATGTGATGTGCTAATGTCTCCTTTACTACTTAGTTACCAAAAATGTGAAGCACATGGCTAATAAATTTTAATTTTACTGGTTGAAGGGGATGTCATTTGACATCACTAAAATAAAATTTTGTTGGTTGAACATTAATATTGAATTTTAAATGTAATTTTCTTAGCGTCATTTATAAATGACGATATCCCATAGAGGGATAAAGGCTGAATTTAGGAGTCTAATAAAGGTTGCCGTGATTTTGCCAAGTAAGAAACATCTTTAGTTGATCCTGGATCAACATTACTGTCCAAAAATATAGACCTAACCCAATCCCTACCCCTAAACCTAACCCTACCCATAATTTATTCCTAAAAATCAGTGTGAAATGATAGCTGATTAACAAGGGTGTAGAAGCATAACCCTGACTGTAAGCCTAAAACTGACATTTCTTGAAAATATAACCCTGACTGTAAGCCTAAAACTGACATTTCTTGAAAACTAATCCCTCAATTCTGATTGGTTAACTGGAATGTTGTTCCAGGATCAACAAGGATGTTGATCCAGGAACATGTTGTACTTGGTGAAATCACGTTCACCGTCTAATAAATGGTATGTATCCAATGTGAATGTGGGGTGTTGGGTACAGTTTGACCCAGTTGGGAGACCAAGAAAGTTGCAATTGAGAGAAATTTTTTGGTAAATAACGAAATTCCATTCTCCAAAATTTTCCAAAATTCCTGCTGAAGCCAGCTTGAACTGGTTGCTGGTCTTATTTGGTCTCAAAATCTGACCAGGCTGGTCTGTTGGTGTGTTATAGAGAGGTTTTGGGGGTTGTATGGGAGACCAGCTTAAAAATAAAGGTGCTTCACGATGCCATAGAAGAACCTTTTTGTCTAAATGGTTCCATAAAGAACCTTTAACATCTGAAGAACCTTTCTGTTTGACAAAAGGTTCTTTGTGGCAAAAGAAGGTTCTTCAGATTACAAAAAGGCAAGAAAGAGATGGTTCTTTAAAGAACCTTTGACTGAATGGTTCTTTGTGGAACCAAAAAGGGTTCTTTTATGGCATCGCTTGAAGAACCTTTTGAAGCACCTTTATTTTTAAGAGTGTAGATCAGCTTAAATGAGCAAATCAGTGTGTGCTGTCAATAGTTAAAAGTCACAAGAGTGAACTAATTTAAAACACAAACACAGAAAAAGGTAGCCTATATGCAAAATAAATCTTATTTTAATATTTAAAATATAAAAAGAATATTTAGTAAACTTTTCAAAATTGCAGAAAGACAGAACATGAGAAAATGAGTGTTGCCCAAGACAAATGTCATTAATTAGAAATATCTGAATGCTGACTGCGACGAGATACGATGAACATATTTTAAACAGCAGAATAATACAACAGAACTGACAGACAGACAAGTATTAATTAATCCAACTCTTTACAACACACTCACAAAGGAGAAAGGAAGAGACAGGTGGGTACAAATAGTGAGGACAGTTTATAAGGACAGTTTTCTTGTCACAACATTTTTCGTGCCTCATTTTACAGATGTGCTCTACCTTTATTGCTACTTTCATCCAGGGAGAGGCTGTTATGTTTACAAATGTGCTGAGTTTTTCTAGTTTTCACAGAAGAGAGTTGTTTGTCACAAACAGGACAGCATAGATGCATTGGCCTATACCTGACTGCAAACATGCAAGTTGCGCCCTGCGCTTCCATCTATTTGCCCTATATTAAATTCATTTTGTGAGTGGATTTGTATGCACATCTTGTTTAAGTCTCATTCAAATGTGTTTATTACATTATACTGAATCTTGATCATCTTGATGCCATGATGGCACAGAAGAGAGGAGGAGGAGGAGAATGTGAAAGGCATTATGCATAGGCTGTATGCAAAAGTATTGTTCCACCTGACGAGGAGCAAATTTTCAACGTGAGCATCTCTTGATCATGTCCGAAAAGGCTAAGAACACGAGCGGCGTGCTCACTACAGCATTACATCACTCAGCATCCCCCAGTCCTGAGGTGTTGAATCGAGCACTAGGTGGCATCCGAGATGAGTAAGGATCCGCGTCTCCGTTCAGTCGAGACATCCAGTCAGCGGCGTCGGGTGTCTCAGGGAACAGTCCCGCTCGATCGCTGTGCGGGGACGCTGCAAACACAATGCGCAGGTGACAAGAACCCGCTTCCAGGAGTTCGTCTCTGACCTGTGCCGACTCGAGGACTAGAACAGCGCTGACTTCCCCGTCCGGAGCGACGCAAGAGGATGCACTGCCTCTCTGGCGTCACCGTCACCCCACAAGTCCATGGCTACCTCATTAGGGGTACTCTGGAGAAACAGGTGTCGGGGAAGTGACGTCACGAGCCTCGGAAACCAGAGGTGTGCGCTTCGGAGAGCAAGATGGCAGCGAAATCCGACGGTCGGGGGGTCGTCACCGGTTTCGCCCAGCTGCACAACCTGGACGAGACGGTGGGGAGCTGCGAGGACGACCCGCGGCAGGGCAGCTCCTTCCACATCTGCCACTGCTGCAACACCTCGTCGTGCTACTGGGGCTGCCGGAGCGCCTGTCTGCGTTACCTCCTGGGCAAGGGGAGAGACGTCAGGCGGCCACCTCACGAGGAGCGCCTGTGGTTGGACTGCCTGTGGATCGTCCTCGCGCTCCTCGTCTTCTTCTGGGACGTGGGCACTGACTTATGGCTCGCGCTCGACTACTACGTCAAGCAGGACTACCTCTGGTTCGGACTCACACTGTTCTTCGTGCTGGTGCCGTCGGTGCTGGTCCAGATCTTGAGCTTCAGGTGGTTCGTGCAGGATTACACGGGGGGCGGCCTGGGCACCGTGGAGGGTCTCAGCAGCGGCCGGAGAGCCACGGCGGGCACGAGCGCAGGGGTGTACGGCAGGGTCAGATGCTGTCGCGTATCAGTGTGGGTCTGGCAGACGCTCATACACATCCTCCAGATGGGACAAGTGTGGAGGTAAGCATCCCGTTAGTTTCTCCTATAGCCCGTCACCTGGTATAACCCGTGCAGACCAGAACATATGGGATGCGAGTATCACTCTAAGCATGTGCTTTTCTCCGAATGAACATCGTGCTCTCGTGAAATCTGTGGCATCAGTATGCGCAGCAGGGCGCTGGAAGTACACGGTGCGTTCCTGAGGCGAGTCTCACAGTGCATCTGAGGATTCATTCACCCTCCCTTGGCTGCTCAACTCTGAGAGACTGCTGGCGAGACGGGCGTCGGGTTTCTCAGGCTCCCCGTGCGTCCCTCAGGAACGACATCCCTCCTTCCTACGCTCGATGTCATCGACACAATTTGCGTTCTTTGATCCTTCGCTCTTTAATAAGGATTCATCATCATAGGTGCAGTGCGTTATAACGCCAGTCAGTACAGTGTGTGCTCTCAAGTGAGGAATAGTTCTGGCGCGTGCGGGGAATATCGTCCGTGACATGTTGTACTTAACGTCTGATCCACTAGATATGATGCGACCGTTTTTTTTCTTCTGCAGCAGACAGGCGCAGTGGCCGCATTCACGTTTGTGTGGAGGCGTTCAGTTTAGCCGGACGATTTAGCTTGATTTCGATGCCATTCATTATGTTTGCTTGGGCTCGTGCTTTCTTTATACGATGCGATTATTGCTTAAAGATAAGGCTCTCTGTCATCAGTGGCTCACAACTGTCATGATGTCATCGCTTTAAAGGTGCTACAGCATCTCACGCGAGCGCGCGCTCTCTCTCTACGTTTGTGTGCAAAATAAATTCCTTCTCATCTTTCATATAGTCACGATAAGACCGTTTTTCTGAGATAAATGTAGTTAAATCTTTCTTAAAAGCCAAATGAAACGCTCATTTTGGACAAGTTAAATAATACTCTGCATCGACGACTGTAAAATTTTAAGTGGATTGATATTTATAGTATATATAATAATATGTAATATTTTTTATGAAGTAGGCTGTAGATCTAGGGATCACTGGGATCTAGAACTGACCCCGTAGAACTCTGACGTTGATTTTCTGCCGTTGCATGCAACCAGTAGTTCTAAAAGCGTTTTCTTCTTACGCGTCCGTTTATATATATATATATATATATATATATATATATATATTCAGAATATTAGAAAATTCAGGCGAACAATACCTGAGTGAATGACTTAGATTGTGAAGTGTGCAACCGGTGGACCCTGAACTATCCCATAATGCAACAAGAGCAAGTGTCTTATTCAAGAAGTTTAAAAATAAAAAAGGCAGAGAACTGTGCAGCTCGCTTTAGAAGTGCTATCAGTACTAAAACGTGTTCATTGCAATTAAAGGGTTAGTTCACCCAAAAATGAAGAATCTGTCATTAATTACTCACCCTCATGTCGTTTCAAACCCGTAAGACCTTCGTTCATCTTCGGAACACAAATTAAGATATTTTTGATGGAATCTGAGAGCTGTCTGACCCTGCATAGACAGCAACACAACTGAAATGTTCCCAAGTCCAGAAACGTAGCAAGGAGATCGGTAAAATAATCCATATGATATCAGTGGTTCATTCATAATTTCCTACGTTGTTGTGATTTGATCTGAACAGAAACAGCGTATCCGGCATGACGCAACTGACACAGAACAGCATACGTTGTTTACGTCCAGCAGATATTCTCCAAAATGGCACCAGGGTGATGCGGAGGAGACAAATTGTTGTCACTGATTGAATTGAACACTGATGTCACATGGATTATTTTACCGATCTCCTTGGTCTCTGTCTGGACTTGGGAACATTTCAGTTTTGTTGCTGTCTATGCAGGGTCAGACAGCTCTCAGATTCCATCAAAAATATCTTAATTTGTGTTCCGAAGATGAACGAAGGTCTTACGGGTTTGAAACGACATGAGGGTGAGTAATTAATGACAGAATATTTCATTTTTGGGTGAACTAACCCTTTAAAGTGTAATTTTTGGTTTATCATGCTATCACAGACTTGTAGGCCTATACTTTCTTCAGTGGTCAATAACTGAGATCTTCATTAAATTCAGCACTGAAAGTACAGATATTTGTATACAGCTAATTGAGCTAAAGTGTAAAAGGTAATGTTTTATCTAGCTATATTTCTGTAGTTACCTTGATGAAAGACTTTTACTGTATTTTGGCTCTACACAAAACTTCATTGTGCAATAAATGCAAAACCCGAATATAATGGAATGGCATTTTGAGGTAGAATGCTCAGCAGTGTATCATCTTAAAAATAGAGCAGTCTAGCTTTAAAGTGCTGGTGGAAATGGGTTTGAAGTCAACATCAAAGAAGTCTTTTTTTGCTCCTTTTAGACTGTGTGAATAAGGTGCTCATAATTAGATGACATCTAAATCAAATAAGAAGATCCTTCATGCTTTTCTTGTGTCTGTGAATCTTGTACTATGTTTTATACAACGAAGTACCATTGTACCTGTGTGTGTTTTCATATTTTAATACTCATAGGCCTATTATTGCATCTGTCAGTTGTTATTGCTTTCTAGCCAGAAACTTCTGAGGCCACACTGGCTTTATCTCTCAAACTGAACCGATAATGTTCTCAGGTCACGCCAAACATTAGCAAGCAACTTAAACTAATTTCTATGTGAAAACAAAAAATAAAGTGGAATTACACACATCTGTCTTTGCATCAGTTCCTGACTACTGGACAGATCCTTCTGCCAAAGACTTTAGAAATTGTGCATTTTAAGAAAGTGCATGAGACATTTCTCATTTGGATGTTTATTTATTTATGCTTGGCATGAGAGCCCGATGATGTCTTTGTTGGCTTCGGTAACAGCGCCGCTTGCCAAAACCTCGAGCCTTTCCCAATCCTCTTGACTTGAAAGTTAGTCAGCGCAAGCGTCTTGAGAGATAAATGGTAAATAATGGTCAATTAAGTAGCCTAGGGCACTGGTTGTGTGCTTTGTTTAGCTCTTGGCACAAAACTTGCTGCCTAGTTAGGGCAACTTGGTGAAAACGAATATAACTCAGGATTCTTACTCCCAGCATGTCTGATATGCCATGTATCACTACTGTTTAATTTGTAAAATTTAAAATTACTGTAAAAAAAAAAGTCCTTTTGAAGGACTCTTAAAATAAATATATCACAATTTCCGTAAAAATATTAAGCAGCACAACTGTTTTCAACACTGATATTAATAAGAAATGTTTCTTAAGCAGCAAATCAGCATATTAGAATGATTTCTGAAGGATCATGTGACACTGAAGAGAGAAGACTGGAGTAATGGCAGCTGAAAAATTCAGCTTTACCATCACTGCAATACATTACGTTTGAAAATATATTAAAATAGAAAACTTGTATTTAAAATTGTAATAATATTTCACAATATTACTGCATTTTTGATTAAATAAATGCAGACTTGGTGAGAATAAAGAGACATCTTTCAAAAACATAAAAAAAATCTTACTGACCCCAGACTTTTATACAGTAGTGTATATAGGTTTTGTTTTGTTTTTGCTGCTTTTCTGTAGTCTCTGTAATGATGGACACTTTAATAAAATGAATGCAGAATGATTTTGAGCATTTGAGAGAACTGGTTTGGTGTTAATGAGGAGCTACTTGAGCCTTACTGATGGTGCTGTAGAAGCATCTAAGACAAAAATGCCTGGGAAACACTCTAAACCACTCCTTCCCAAATGTTTTAAGGCACTTCCTCTGCCTCATTCCTTTTCTCTGCTGTCTGTGTAAAATCATTGCTTTGCTGCTCTGTCCTCCCCATCCACTAGTTAAAGTCATAATATGCACTTTCCTCTTCTCTCCCTCGCTGCCTGTTTTCCCTTTTACATAAATCTCCACTTGACCTCCATTTCTGTCAAGGAAACTGGAGCATCTGTCGGCCTTCCCATTATTGGAGACTTTTCCTCCTATGTGTGACGTTTAGAGCAGCCCTCCCTCACTCCATCACCTCTAGGACGCTCACTATCCCCATTCTCTCCTGTTTGCCCTCTCAGTGTCACACCTCTCACAGGGGCTCAGGTAGGATATATAGTCAGCTACTATATATAGTGGCTGTTTGATAGTGTTATATAGTGTTTGTTTGAGTGCTTGGCAGTTTAAATTGAGTTTAAAGAGCGCCAACAACTTGTGTATGCACTTGTGTCTCACTGCAGTCTTGAGGAAATATCACGCAGTAAATGACTAATTTCACTGCATACACTCAACAGAAAGCTACTCATTAAAACACAAGGGTCAAAGACATGACACTCATTTTTTGTGTCTACTTTTTAAATGATTAAAAAATACATTTAAAATGCAGTTCATTAATACTCTGACTTGAATACAACTTTTCTATAATGAGCAAGGTTTTAATTTCTGGTCCATAAACTCAAAAATGTCAGGGTGTTACCACTGTCCTGATATCATAATAAAAAATAAGCATATTTAAAATAATTAAATTACTGAAGTCATGTGATCCCTAATGAAACAGACATACATTTTAGCATATAAAAAGAGGACAATTTATGGAAATAATACACTTTAAAAAATATACTTAAATGTGAACTAAATGTAATGTGTTTGGACGCTTAATTGAATGTTGTTCACTATTAAATGCGAATATATATATATATAAATTATATATAATTTTTATATACTTTTATTTATATATATATATATATATATGTGTATATATATATATATATATATATATATATATATATATACACTGTATATTGTGTTGCTTTCATATTTTCATATTTTGCACATTTTATATATGTTTTCTCTCTCTCTCATAACTTGAATTAAACTAGATTTTAAAAGGTTTTTTTCCCCCTCTTCTTTATCATGAACACTCATACTGTTTTTGACCCACAAACACTCAAACAGATGCAAGTAACCTGGTTTCTAGTGCTGGGTGGTAAAAACTAAAAAGAGGTGTCTAGTCTTTTTAAGCATCTTTTTAAGGTGCCACTTTATTGTTCAACTGCCTCTTCAAGAGCTTTATACAAGTAAACAGCCTTACAGT